GGGCAGCCATTTTGGGACCGATGGAGCCCTGCTGTGCGCTCAAGGCCCGTGTTTCCAGAGCTGTTTGGTGGGGTTTGGGGGGGGGGGGGCTTGGCGGGACCCACTGGGTCGAGACATGGCGGCTCAAAATGTAAGAGCTATCTCTGGTTCCACTTATCTAGGGGCCATTTTGGGGATTTCATCTTTTTGAGGCACGCCTGGTGGAAGATTGTGCTCTGCCCAAGTCGCCCAGAGACGCTCCCAGAAACGATCCCATTGGGAAAGAAAAACCGATCCTTTGGAGCTACCGAAAGGGAGCGCGGGGTGTGGGGGGGGTCCTCTATCCCTCTGGACAAGTAACAGGTGCCTCGCGCGATGGGCTGACACGCGCTCATGATCTCTTAGGAATTCTTGATTCGGAGCTTGTGGATTGTGAATTGCCAGCCTCGCCTTATGGAAAGGCCAAATGGCCCTTTTTGGTGGCTGGTGATTTGTCTTAGGTCGGAAGGAGGTGGGTTCCACCGAAACGGCGTATGATGGAGCCCAGCCAGATGTAACGCATGTGAACCTTTGGCACAAAGCCAGGAGGATTCAGGATTTGGCTTCTCTTTCGAATTGAGGTCTGCATCGTAGGGTTTTGACCGATGTTAGATGTTAGGGTAGATTAGATACAAAGGAGACTCAGAGCATATGATTTTTGGAGTACTGCATGGCCAAGTGGAGTACTTGCTCACTTTTAGAGAGTTTTATGGACCCCTAAGATGGGGTGTCCTTTAGGTTTCGGCCTTCACTTCCTGAGTTCATGAACTTTAAACTTTTTGGACTTTTTGGGAAGACCATTTTAGTGGCAAATAGAAAGTTTGGGGACTTGTTTTGGGGGCCATCAAAACTGAGGCCAGTGAGCTTGAGACCTCCAAGACGGGGTTGAAACAAACGACACAGCCCCACATCTTGGCGTTGACAGGTGGGCTCCTGTAGCTGTGAGCTGTACCCCATCTGGTGCTGCCAGGACGGCTTTTTCGGGTCCCATCTGCCGCGCTTTTTCGGGCCAGGGCCAAGGTCCATTCAAGTGCCACCTGAGGGCTGTTTCAAAACAGAAGAGAAAATTGGTGGCTCCCAACCATCCGGTTCCTTAGCTTTTTAGGTTTTCAGGTGAAGTGGTAGTTTCCATTTGACCCACTAACAGTTCGTCGCTTTTAGCAGAGGATCTAAAAACGGGCAGCCCAGGAAAGAATTCGTGGAGTTCCAGCGCACTTTCCAACACTCATGGCAGGCTCATTTACAGATGCAGGGGAACCAAGCAACCATTCTCTATGTGGTCTGTATTGGTTGCATTGGGCACAAAGGATCTGAAATGGCCATGAATCATCATGGGGAAACCTACCCAGTTGCCATGACTTCTTTGGCTGAGCCTCAAATGGATCAACATGCAGTAGAATATGGGCGTGAGTTCTTACTGAGGACACTCTGTTGGACATCATTTCGGTTGGGATTTATGGCCACCGAACATTTGGGAGGGTATTCCTCATCAAAAATGATAGCCATATTGGTACGTTGTCTCCTTCGGTTTCTAACTAAACCAGGGTTGCAAAAACAATATACGTGCCGATCGCTTTAGCCGTACTCTGCAGGTGAATCCCGAAGTTCCTGGAGCCTCGCCGGTATCATAATTGAATGATCCCCCTTGTAAAAGGGAAACCTCAATGAGCTGATATTTGAGGGTTTCTCAAACTTGTGGACCGTGGTCATTTCAACGGGAAGGCAAACGGAACGAACAAACTTGTGTTTTTCAAGAAACACCCATGTATATAGAGAACAGTGGCATTTTTAGAGTTTGAAGATGCGCGATGTTTTTTCTTTCCAACCATCGTGGCAGACAGGTCTCCTTGAGATGGAGATGGTCTTCCCAAGAACTCTTGCTAGCTTCCCTGATTCTAATGAGGGATAAAACGGAAGCGCTTTCCCCTAAGAATTGATACGCCCGACGATGTTGTTTTTTGGGGAAGATAATTTTACGCATAGGCCGCATGAGGGGAAGCCATCAACCTTCCTTGAACCTGGTGGTTTCCGCCGCAAGCGACTAGGGGGCAAGACAAAAGGCATTTGGTAGCCAGGACTTGATTCCTCCAAGCAATACACGCACACACCTGGGTGAATGGGCTGAAGGACGAGAGGAAGGAATGCACCCGCACACCCACGCACCCACGCATCCCCGCAACCCCCCCCCCCCCCCCAACCCACGCACCCACACGCCCACGCACCATGCAGCCATGCACTCAAGTACCCAGGCACGCATACACTCATGCACTCATGCACCCATGCACCCATGCACCCATGCACCCACGCACCCACGCACCCACGCATCCACGCACCCACGCGCCCACGCACCGACGCACCCACGCACCCACGCACCCACGAAACCACGCTCCCACGCACCCAGCCAAGAACACCCTGCAGGCAACCTTCTGTTGGCTAGCCAGCTGGCAAGCTAAGAGGCTTTTCTTGGCCTGCAAAAGCCTTCACGTACCCTTGAACAGCATTGCAATCATGGACCACCTGGCACCCACGCACCCACGCACCCACGAAACCACGCACCCACGCACCCACGCACCCACGAAACCACGCACCCACGCACCCACGAAACCACGCACCCACGCACCCACGCACCAACGCACCCACGCACCCACCCCACAAGGGATGGCTTATAGGCGCCATCCCAATTCATTCCCTCCTGAGAATCGACAAGAAAATACTCACGCCTTCGTGCCCTAGGATGATGATGCGATGGCTTCGGACAAGGACGTGGACGATAGCAGGGAGAAACGTTCTCGGCCTCAACTGAGCTGCTTGCAACAGCCGTGCTTGGAGTTTGGAGTGGCGGATTTGGCACGATCCGGGGATGTCGCAGGGCTCTTGGGGATACTCCTTGAGTTCATGTGTTTGTTTTGATGCTCTGTTTGATTGCTTGCTTTTTGTTTGCTGGCTTGTTTGTTTGTTTGTTTCCTTGTCTGTTTTGCCACACACACGGACTCCAACTATTTCGGAGAATTCAATCGATTCGATCGCCATCTCTGCGGACCGGGGGGGGGGGGGTGCGCTTTCCGTTGGTTTTACGGGAAACTGCAAGCAAAGCAACACAAAAACCAAGAAACCGCCAGCAACCAAAGAAAAGCGCAAGGTGCCCCACATCATTCCGCTCTTTTTTTCTTTTTTTTTGAAAAAAACTGTTGTGTGGTTTTTATGACCTTGCTTTTCCAGGAGAGCCAGGCTGGGTCATTGGGCACGGGGGTGTCTGCCGGGTTTCACCTTGGTTCCAAGACAACTCAGCTATACTTGTTTGCCCCTTACACTCTCGAAGAACTGGCTCAGTACCCTCAGCAACTTAAGCTATGCCTTACTTTTCGAGTGGCTCACTAGCCTGAGCAACTTGTTTTTCTTTTTTGGGTGGGGCTTCACACGTTGCACACTAGTTTTGAGTGATGGGAACCCAGGATGTTCCGCAGGACCCCTGGTTGATTTTGATCGAGGACCCGGCTACTCTTGAGCGCTGTTCTTCAATCCACCAGGTGGATTCGGGAACGACTACACATGTACCAGTATCTTTTTAAGTCCATGGTCTTGCCGCATTGTAGGGGGCAAGACAAGTTTGGCTACTTGGATGACCAGCTGGGGTTCTGGTGATAAGGCTGTGGGTCAAAACCAATGGTACCATTTTGGGGTAGGTGCACCACCCTCCATTTTAGTGGGGATTGGGATGTTCACTGGGGGTACGGGACTTTGACCATGGTCATTAAAAAGTCTCCGAAGTGGGGCTTTAGGGCACTTCCTACTTAGGGTACTTGTCAACCAGGGTACTGACCCATGTAGCTCGTGCCAGGTGGGATCAGGAGGGTCTTAGGAAGATCCGAGTGGTAACTTCAACCCATTTCCAGGAAATCACCAAACCTCAGGAACAGTGTTGGTTTTCTGTGGTTCCCTTTTTTCTTTGGCGCGGAGCCTGTGTCGACCCAAAACCTGGCGCTTGGACCCTTAGTCTCTATTCTTCCCCTTTTGGTGGGTTCAAGCATGACTCTTGACCATCCTCATTTTACCCAAATGTTCATCCTGTTGCTGGGCGGGATCGAACGTACTGCGATACGGCGTTGACCCGCCACAAATGAAGCTACTTCTTTATCCGGCACCAAGAATCTGGGAGAGCTTTGGAAGGCAAAACCTTGGATCGTGTGCGGATGGTACTGTGGATGGACGAAATCCTGCACCACCTCAAAAACCATGGTTGAAACCATTGTTTGTTGGTATTTTCCAGGGAATCGAATGATTCCAGGGTTTCTGAACGGTGGTGCGAAATGGATCTCGCCCATCCACAGTAGGGACCTCCGGCCCAGTCTCCGAAGGGCTTTATGGACAGCGCGCCGAGTTCGGTTGGTTTGGAAAACGACGAGCCAACGAGCTCTGAGACGCCGAGCGGCCGAGTAGCCGAGGCATCGCCCGCGGGTTTGCACAGTAAGCCGCTGAAGGAGAAGGTCGATTGGAGAGTTGCTCTATTTCCTCGCCTGGCTCTCCGTTTGCGGCAGGCAAAACTCTCTTTTGAAGATGGATCTTTGCGCTGCGTCAAAGTTCGAAGCCACGTGGAAAAGACGGAAGACATCTGGCGTTCGGATTGCCGGAGATTTCTTTAACTACTGCGGAATCCTTGCGGATGAACGACTGCAAGAGGGCACTGTGGCTCTCTGATGAGATCTTCCCCGGCGTGAATGGGCGAGCCGGCGAGCCGTGTCAAGCAAGGGACTTGACGACACGGAGACCCTCAGGTCGGTTACTTCGTTGACGGGTTCTCTTCTTGCCTCGGATCAGCAGTGTCACGGCAGGCCTTCGTGAGTGCCTCAACATCAGCTTTTTGAGCGTGTGTGTTTCCTTTTGGCGGGGTGTTGCTTCAAGGGGACGTATTTTTGCGAGCCTAAGTACATTGAGGTTTCGCACGGAACGTTTCAAATGGATTTTGTCAGACCGGGCACACGCCGATGCTGATGAAGGGCCGAGCCAAGGAGCCGAGAAGGTTGCGACATCGAAGTGTGCGTGTGTGTGTGTGTGTGTCCACTTGCAAAGGCAAGCGCTTCCTGATCAACCCTCTGTTGCCCAGTGGTGCCCCTTTTTCTTTCTTTGGGTACAAAGTCTCCTTTGAAGACCAAATTGGATGCCCCTTTGTTCCCATGGCCACTGGGCATAGGTACCAATTACCCTGCTTAGATTCAGATGAAACCTGAAAAGACACTAAAAGAAAGAGAGCAATCTCCTGTTGAGGGACCTAACATTGGGTTCCATGCTAGTTTGCAGGGGAGTAAACGGTTGTTCAGGTTTTCCTCTGGTGAACTGGACCAAAAAAACAGGGCAGCCATTCTTGGGTTTTTGACAGACAGGTGATGTGTACCACGAAAAAGGCAAAAGGCCTGATTTTCTGGAGTTGGTCGCCCCTTTTTTGTGGTTTTAAGGAGACACCACCATGAAGCCCACCATTTTGAGGAGTCCCCCCCAAAAAAAAGACACACCCATAGAGGGAGCCCAATTCGGGAAAAGAACGCCGTTGCGCCAGTTTGGGGCTCCCAAAAAAGACGAGCCTGGAACTCTAGGGGTTCCAGGCATCCGAATTTCTTTCTAAAAAACCACCCAACACCCCAAAAAACCAGCGGTCGGTTTTTGACAAGAACGATGGTTGAACAGAATGGGCAAGGAATCAACCCGTAGAAACAAGGGTAGCCTGAAAACCAGCACACCCAAAAATCGTAGGATTCCACCGCCCTCACCTTGCCTTGGTTTCTAAATGAAGGCTTTTTATGGAGTTCTGGCCTCAACCCCTAGAATAACACGCGCAGCCGAGGAGCCGGTGTCCCCCACGCGCCTCATGGTGCAGCGCCAGCTGCGGTGCTGCGGCACCGCCGCGCCCAGGCGCCGCGGAAATTCGCGAAGGTTTCCGGCGACCGCCGGGATGGTCCAAGAAGCCCGGGGGGAAAAGGGCAATCTCTACGGGGGAAATTCCGCAGTCCTTTTTTTTTTCAAGGGAAGGTCGTTTTTGGAAGGAATTGAAGGGAAGCTCTGCAAGTCCTCGAATTTAAGATGGAAGCTCTACAGGTTCCCTTTCTTTTGTTCGGCCAGGGTCCGGTGGAGATTCCTGCTGATGTCTATGACTGTTTCAACGGGAAGCCCAAGAAAGACAAAAGGAATTTCCAGAACGACATGACTTTCTAGCTTGCTCCAATTTGTAATTCCAGGTTCTGACTAAGGGAAACCGGAAGGACACCATCTCCAGTTCCTTTTTTCCCCGAAACAGGCGGAGGTTTGCGCGGCTTGGTTCGAGTTTGGCGCGAGCTTGGTCTAGATCGCAAGCAGGGGACCCCAAAATGGTGAGTTGTTCAACCTGTTGCATCCCGTTCGTCAGCAAGTGAGTGTCTCTGGCGAGGGTGAAACGTGCTGCACGAATGCAGATACCAGGGAAAGTCGCCCCTGCGACAGGTTGCCTGCTTCTTGGTCCGTTGGGCTTTCAGTGGAAGATGGTTGAAAGTAGCATTAGAAAACATGTTTTCCCTCATGGCGAAAGGTTTTGGATTGCCGAGCTACTTACCCTGTGCAATCTTTCAGAGAAGGACCCCCCAAGGAGGTCCTTTCCCCGCACCGAGATTCCGATCCTATGACGCAACCACCTACCGGGTTCCATGGGGAGGTGAGAGGGTAGGCAGAGTTGGATGCCTTGAATTAGCAGGGTTCTCCATTTCAAAATCCCAAAGTTGACACGAATGAGACCCCAGGATACCCCCTCCAACTGGGACCACAGAAAAAGGGTGTTCAATGCAGTCCCTTTAACAACTTTCCTTCAAAAGCGGGTCACAATGGATGGGTGTTTCGGTCCTCCAAAGAGGGATCCCTTTTGGTTTGGTTTTAAAGGGCAACCAAGAAGGCTGCTTCCAGCCTCCAGGAGTCTCGATTTTTGAGAAACATGTTGACACCGCATGTAGACATTCCACTCGTGGATCCAAGCTGAGTAGGAAAGAGAACACAGCCTTGCAGGGAGTTGCTTTCCCAAACCAACACTTTCCATGCAGGTCTATTCATAGGAAGTGGTTTGGGGTTTCCAGAAAAAAACAGGTTCCAGGTATGCCGGGCAAAGAGTGAGAGTTGTGTGGCCCTAGCTCCAGATTGATCACTGGACATATTTTGGTAGTCTACTGTTTGCTGTTGGTTTTGGCGAGGACACGCGGGACAACCACCATTTCCCCTTACAATGAAACACATAACTTGTCCGCAGCCCATATATAAAGAGAATCAGCCAAAGATACTTTACGCTTTCGATGAGGTCCCGCACATTGCAGCGTCTCAAGCTAGCATTCGCACCCAGAGCCTGGCGTTTCGGCTTGCAGACCATATGCATACCAGAAGGACCCAAAACCGAAACCGATCAACCTGGACACCCGATAGGACTCGGCCCCAAAACCGGTACCCTGGTGATACTGTGGATGGACGAAATCCATTTCGCACCACCTAAGAAACCCTGGAATGGTGATTCCCCTGTAAATACCAAGAAACAATGATTCCACCATGGTTTCTTAGGTGGCGCGCATTGGATGTCGCAACCATCCAGGGTACGGTCTGCTCGATGTATGGATTCCAGTCTTCCAAAGCTGGAGCCGGTCATTTGGAAGGCCATCCTCCTAAAGGGAACCCATTCAACTCGCATGTTGGTTGGGAGGGGAAACACCGGGGGCAAGCATTGTTTCAACCATATTCTAGTTGTTCTTGGGAAGAAGGTTGAAACAGTAGTGGCTTGAACTTCTTTCAACAAGGGGCTTTTGCTCAGGCCTTTGCAGCGTTTTGTGACGCGCTTGGCAGACTTCTCGGCCGCTTGGCGTGAGCGGTAAAGTGAGGAGCCGTTGTCGCCGGTTTTTGCTCAGCTCAGGACAGGGCTCCCTATATTTCCGCCGTTGGTGGTCGCCTCGTTTGTTTTGCTCAGCTTAGTTCCCGATATTTTTAGTGGTTTGCCAAGTTTACCCATTGGTGGTTTGATGCTCGAAAGGAACGCGGTGGTTTGAAGCATCGCCTTTTCTGCCAATTCAAAGTGACACATCCCTTTGGTGATGTTCTTCTTGGGGACATGGACTCGTCGCAAGCCTGCATGGGGAAAGAGGGAAGTTGCAAAGAACACCTCAAAGTGACCAAAGCACACGCCGTTTCATTCCGTTTTAATAAGGACCGACTTTTAAGACCCTTGTGAAAAAATGGTATCAATCCCGAGAGAAGAGGATGTTTGTGGTGTACCTACGTGGGTATACCGCTCATGGCTTCAACTATGTAACCCATGTGCACTTGGTACAATACCAACACCGGGTATGGTTTCACAGTAAAATTGGGTTTACTCCCAGGGGTACAAGACCTTGATCTCAGTTCTTCGAAAGAGTCTTTGGTTGATCATGAGTTTATCAAGGGAGATGTTTATGGCTGTCTATGTTTGGGACTCGAGCCATTATCAAGGGTTTCCTTCTGCACCCCCTTTTGGCTAAGCAGCAACAGTATCAGGCTATACGTGGCTTACATGGTTTGGAGGCAGGGGGTACATGACAACAGTCCTTGTGAGCAGAATCTTCTTTGTCAAGTTACCTTTCTTTCTCCTTCGCAGTTGTTCTGACTCAAATTCATTCAGTAGGGTTTTGTCTTTCTGGTGCAATGTGTTGAGAAATATCATGACCCTCCTCCAGACCGATCAACCAATTTTTAGGCCCAAATGATATGTGATCATCCCATGCGAGGTCAGGGCTATCTTTTGAACTTGAACACAGACTCATCGGACAAACAAGGCAGGTTGAATCTGCGAAGGCGATGATGGCTTGGGCGTAGGTGGGGGGATGCAACTTTACGACTCTTTTAGCGTGGGCCGGATTTTGCCAATTCAGAACGGAGGGTTGCATGGTGAGTAACGATCAGCTAGCGCATGGAACCCCCAATTGTCGCTTGTGAATCCTTTAAACGTGCGCTAACCGTACCTGTTGGTCGTGTATGCCAGATGCAGGGTCTTCACGAGGGCCTCAACACCCCAGTCCCTCTTCTTGCTGGTTCTCATGGGGAGAATGACCCCGAGAAGCCATCCTTGGCATCCTCTCAAAAATCTCCCAAAACGGGTTTATTGGAGTCCCTTCCCCCCTCCCCTTCTTTTGGCTGCCAACAAAACCCTGCAAGCACCGTGACAAATTAATTTGCATTTTGGTCGCACGAAAGCCACGGGTTTTGGGCATGGGGCGAGGCATTTTTAGGCTGGTCGCATGCCACCGGGTTTTGGGCATAGGTCGCGTTCGGGCCATTTGTCGGCTGGTCGCATGAATAAATCGCGGCTGGGCTGGTCGCACGCGTTCGAGGCACGGGGCTGCGAAGGAAGAAGGAAAAAAAAACAAAACAAACAAGAAAAACAAAAAACAAAAAACAAAAACAAACAAAAACAAAGAAACAAGAAAAAAACAAAGAAAAACAAACAAAACAAAGAAACTCTGCAGGTGCCCTTCTTGGAGCAGCACCGCTGCGAGGTGCTCTGCACCTCGGGGCTGCTGGTGATCGCAGGCGAGGGCGGGGGGGCGGTTGGGGGCGGTTGGGGGCGGTGGGGTGGGGGAGGGAGTTCCTCTGTATGGGTCGTTTTGAGGGAGGGTTTTTCGGAAACAAAAAGGCCCTTTGAGGGAGGGTTTTTCGTTCAAATCCCCGTTTTCTGGGTGTCTCTGGGTTTCCCCCCAAAAAAAATCAGAGAAGTGGGTCAGTGGGTGGCCTCAAAGAAGGACCCGTCCGTTTCCCCCTTTCCGGAAGCTCCGCGAGCTTTCGTGGCAGGTTCAGTTGTGGGCTATCTTCAAGCATTGGGCTCCACGAACTGCGGATTTGTGAGATGCTAAACCCCTCCCTCGCCCTTTGCCCCGCTTTCCGGAGTTTAGAATCGACGCAAGTCGCCAGGTATGGTGTTGAGCATGGCCTCACTGGTGGGTGGCCTGGCGCGCGGGACGTTGCTGGAACACCTCAGCTGGACTGCGGGCGCAGGGGGCGCAGGGGGCTCCCTCCGCGCGCGGTCGGGTTTTGTTTTTCGGGGGTTCGGTGGTGGAATTTTGGGTGGGTTTTTGGAGGCTCGTTTTTTCTTTCTTCTTCTTCTCTTTTTGTTTCCCGTTTTTTGTTTGTTTGAGTCTTTTGAGGCTCGGCTTTTTTTTTTTTGGGGGGGGGGGACCGACTCACATTGGGGGACCCGGTACGATACCTGAAAACAAAGATGAGTTCAGTTCCCAGGGCGAATGGTTAAAAGGTTCCAATCGCCTGAAGGTGCTGATCGCTTTGATCGATCGAATGGGACAAATCATCCCAGTAGATGTTGCCAGAAAGTAGGTGCCCAGGAAACCAATAGTAAAACCCCAGAGGCATATACCTACAAAGGCCACAGGTTCTTAGCTTTCTGGACCCCCATATTCCCCTTAGTTGGCAAACATTGCCCCATTTCAAAGTGAGCTTCCTTGCTACATTTTTCAAATTACAGGATCGTGGTTTTGAAGGGAACAGGGAACCATCCAATCTGGAGATTAGAGACGGGAGTGTCTTTTTTGAGGGTGCCACGCTTTCGGGGTTGCTTCTTTTCGCGAAGCCAAAGGGACATGCCATGCATTTGGGGTTGGATCCCTTGAGACACACCGCAAGGCAACCAACCAAGGCAACAAACCACCCACCCACCCATCCACCCACCCACCCGCCCGCCCTCCCAACCAACCAACCAACCAACCAACCACCCACCCACCAACCAAACCAACCAAACCAACCAACCTTTCCCGGAAAACGAAGAGGATCAACCTGGAGAGCGACGAGGAGCAGCGATTCCTGGGCATGCGCTTCGTGTGCATCGCGGAGGGCCCCTTGCTGAGCCCAGCCTTTCAGGAGGCGTGGTCAGGCGCGACTGCGGAGGGGGGGTGGGGGTGGGGTGGGCGGGGGGGGTGGGGGTTTGGGGTGGGGGTTTGGGGTGGGGGTTTGGGGGGTGGCGGGTGGCAGGGTGCGTCGCGGTTCTTGACCCGTTTTTAGACTTCTAGCTGTTGGTTCTACTTTGTCTACTTTGCTGTAGTGGGTGGCTGCGAAAAACAGAGCCTTTTTCCAGCCGGCCTCTCACACCTCAAGCTGATCTGGGCGCATGGCCTCACGGCTTTTCAGGGCTTTGCTGCACCGAAGCAGCGCAGCTGCTTTAAAAACAGCTGCCCTGCCCGATTTGTTCCCTTGATTGGCAAGAAGGATCCCTACTGTGGATGGACAGAATCCTGCGCCACCTAAGACACTTTGAAACGATGATTCCCCTGTAAATACCAAGCAACAATGGTTTCAACCATGGTTTCTTAGGTGGTGCAGGATTTCGTCTGTCCACAGTGGGGGTCCCCTTTTTGGCAAGTTACCCCTGGTAAATTCCAACCAACCTTATGGCTGAAAACCCATGGTTTCTTAGGTGCGCATTGGACGTTGCCACCATCCACGGTATGGGAAAGTGACCGCCTCAAGCCAGGCAGCGACCGGTGCATCCCGCTGCGCCTTGGCAGGGGAAGTCGCTTGCGACCAGCGGCGGGGTGTGGGAAGAAGCCCACCCGAGCCCAGTGCACAGACCGGTGATATCTTTTCTTTTTTTGTTGGGTGGGTTTTCATTTTTTTGCACATGGCGGGGCCCGTTTGGCCGCTAGGAAATCCACGGGTTGGGCGTGGATTGCGAAGTCCTTCCCGCAAGCCTCGACCCGGCCACTTGAGCTCTGTCAAAAATTGAGCAATCGTGTGGTTTTGGGAGGGTACCCTTTTAAAGGTTGGCTTGAAGGGAAACCGAAAGAGGCAAACACATAGCCACATCTCTGAACAACTTTCCCAGCGGACAGGCGGATGCTGAGACATCTTGGTGACTCTCGGAGGTGAACCTGTTCTGTGGTGGACATAAGAACCTCTTACGGATTAAAAAAGAAATCAGACCCCTTTCCAAAGGCGGTGAGGTTACGTAGATAACCCTGCGGAGATGCATGTCCCTTGTGACTCTCTCTCTCTCTCTAAATTTGGGTGAAAGACTTAGCCCCATCTTACCATCCAGGACAAACGCGCAACTACTTTCACCCAGAACCTCCCCTTCGAAGTTTTATAAAACTCTGTTAAAGAAACTACATGACCAGAACTCCATGTCCCCAACCAGATCTCCACGTCCCTGACCAGAACTCCATGTCCCCAACCAGAGCTCCTGGTAGCTCCAGAACCCCTTTCTCTCTGAAAAGAACAAACATGACCGGGTCCCAGAAACCTCCATGCCTCTTAAACCTTCATGCCTCCGGTAACCCGGCGGGTTGGTGGTTTGGAGCCCGGTGGTTTGGATTTGAACCCCTGGCTTTCGCAGAGGGTGAATGGGAACCCCCTCCGGAAAACCAACAAACAGATCCAAACCACCAATGAGTGGGAAGCGGGATGCCTCCAAAAAAAGTAGATTATACCTACTGCCAAGCTGATTCGAGGGACATATCGGGCGAGCCAAGGAGCGCCTTGGTGTGCGAGGCCCCGGACCCAATGTCCTGCCGAAGTTGGGATGCCAACTGCTCCTGGGCATTGCTTCGGTGAAGTTATAAGGGAGAAGGTGTGTGGGTATGTGTGTGTGTGTGTGTGTGTGTGTGTGTGTGCGTGTGTGGGTATGTGTGTGTGTGTGTGTGTGGGTGTGGGTGGTTTTGGGTATGTTTGCGTGCGTGTTTTTTGTGAGGGTATCCTTTAAAAGGTGGTCTTTTGAGAGTTGGCGTGTCCTTTTGTGTTCCCTTTCCAAAACCCAAATCTCCCCGCAGGATCCAAACCCCAGAGCGCCCCTTTTCCGAGGCCGTGAGTTGAGGCCTGAGGTTAGGGTGGGGTTTGGGGAGGGGATCCCTGCCACGCTCTCGTCGGATGCACAAAAGCACAGGCTCACGAGATTTCGGTGTTGGTTTCGGCTGGTTTTTTTCATATTCATGTGTGGGTGTGTGTCTTTTTTGCGAGGGAGCCCTTGGCGAGGTTGACCAAAAGGGAAGGACAACTGCCACTGCAAATACCATTGAATTTCTGACACAAGGTAGGTCCCTGAAAAGCAGGGGTACCACATACATACATACATACGTACGTACGTACGTACGTACGTACGTACGTACGTATGTACATATATATATATATATGCTAAGACCCCCTCCCAATACCAAGGTTTTTGTTGTATTTGACTTGTGGGGCAAATGATGGATGCTTTGCAGGCCAGATGAAGAGGTAACTTCCAGCAACCAGTTGGACAGTTTATGAACTCATTGCTGTTGTTTTTGCGAATAGTACCACAGCGACATGTATGTTTGTAACATATACAAGTGGTGGCCACGTTTGGCTCAAGTCACAAGTTCTCCAACCCAGCCTATGCGTTGCTGCGATTCGTATTCCGAACTCTTGCACCAGCGTTGCAGGACAGCACAACCATTCCTGTTGGGACACAAAGCTGCTTCCCTGCGATTCTCACTTCATATTTGCTCTGCACTTCCTCTTTCTCCACATGACTGAAAGCGCTGCAACATAAGGTGTTGTTGATGATTTGTCACCTTCTTTACGGTAGCAGGTGTTTCGTCTTTTGAAGATTGAAAAAGGCAATAAGTCCAAGACGGCTTGTGTTCGGCTTCAAGCATGGTTTTGATTGGAAACTTTGATGTTTACACTGGTTTCGAGCACACGTAGTAAAGCAACACAATCTGTTTTTTGCAGCTTGAGCCCCATAAAATGCCAGTCAGGAACCTGAGGCCAACGGTAGGGGGGCTGATGACCGTACCAATCATTTGTTCCATGTCCAATTGATTCTCAAATGGTTGCTATACCAAGTATGTTGACCCAACCTCATTTGAGCACGTTTGGTGAAATCCTGCCTTCATGGTTGTGTGAACCAAACCAACATTTCTGAAATGCCAAAGTGGGCCACCCGCTTCGTCACATTTTCTGGGCCTACGCCCCTTCTCAGCCCAAAAAACAGAACCTGAAGAAGATGAAAGCTCTGAGACTTGCACAGGCCCAAAAAGAACAAAACAGACAGAAAATGCGGACCAACAAGAATAATGAATAGCAATGCAAAACCTTGTCCTTACTAGATTGTACTTAACATTTCAATTGACATTTAATTAAAGCAATGTTTGCAAGGGAGCGCATTTTCAAACTCCATTTTAAACCTAAGTTCTGGTTGGACTGGTTTCGTCATGAAAACAAATACCACAGTTGTTTAAGCCACATTTAATCTAAATACATTTGGGAATGAGCTCCTATTTGAAATGATGTTCAGAGGCCAATTGAATAATTGCCTTTAACTCCGATTTGGAAAGGGATTCTTATTTAAATTCTAATGGAATATAGATTTTCACATGAACTATGGCCTTACTAAATTCCAGTCAAAATGTCAATTCAATTTGAAGTAACATCTTATTTGCAAAGGAATGCACATTTGATATTTCGGAGGCTCAAATCTCCTGATTCTAGATTGATCTGCTCAGGATCCGCTTTGATGCTCTCGAGATACCAGTCCATTGTGGTTATTAGCACGGGAATGGGATAGACTTGAATTTGCCCGAGTCAGTAGATGTTCATTAAACAGATTGAAATTGTGCATTGAAATGGTCTCAATTCGTGTAGGCTCAGCATTCCCCGCAAATTTAGTTTATAAACTTCCAAGTCTGGTTAATAAACTCTAAACTCTTGGACTCCTGTCAGTTGGATGAGGAGGGGGGGGGTCCCTCCCTGGCAACTCTTGAAGGGGGGGGGACCCCTCAAGAGTTGCCACGGACCCCCCCCCATCCCCAATCCAACGAGAGTATAAACCAGACTTGGATATAAACTCCAACACTGAATCATAAATCAGTCAGTTATGTGATCTATACTCATCCAATGACACATAACGATGATCAAGCACTTGTAGTAAGACATGTGTTCTGATCTTTAGCAGGAACCCAACTCAACTCCAGGTTTTCCTCCAACAAGCGACTTTCTATACAAAAAAACATGCAACATGTACATTTGAAAGCAGGAAAACCTTGGTATTGGGGGGGGGGTCCTACCATATATATATATACATATATATATATATTCACACGCACACGCACACACACACACACACACACACACCTGCCTTGGGTCGAATTCGTATGTATATATATATATATATACATATATGCATACGTTCTCCTGTTTGGGTCACCAGGAACCGTTTGCCACCCCCGCCTCGTCGCTCGGCTTATCGAGGCTTATCGAGCGCCAGGGCCAAGGCCTCCAGCTGGGAGCGCGCCCAGTGCTCCGCGTGTCGGAACTCCACCGTGGCGCTGCTGCTGCCCATCCTCATCTCCACCGCGCCTCGCCTCGCCTGCGTCGCCTCGCCTCGCCTCCGGCGTTTTTTTTCTTCTTTTTCTCCTTCGGCCAAACAAATAAAGGGGTCGTTTTGTTGACCAAACGCCTTTCTCGGCGGTTGGGTTGTTTTTTGGTCGTTTTTGTTTGGAAGTAAGTTGAGACCGGGTGGTTCCTTCCCCCCCTGATTTTTGGAGTTGGCACCAACCGTTTGGTGCCTCGCCTTTCGGGTTTCTCAGTGGTCCAAAGCGCATCGACCTACTTGTGGACCTTTTGTTTTTCCCCAGTTTGGCAACCATATTTTGTTTTCGTTTAGAAGTTCGCAGAACGGGTGGTCCCCCTGTTTTTGGAGCTGGTACCAACCTTCTGGTGGTGAAGGGGAACCAAAAGGAACGCCATCCTTTTCTTTGCCTTTTTTCTTATTCTTTTTTTTTAAGGGTGGGTGGGTGGGTGGGTGGGTGGGTGGGTGGGTGGGTGGGTGGGTGGGTGGGTGGGTGGGTGGGTGGGTGGTTCTCCTTTTTTTTTGAGTTAGTACCAACCTTTTTTGGGACAAAGGGGAACCAACAGGAAAGGCTTTTTTTTGGGGGGAAGGGTGGTTCCCATGATTTTGGAGTTGATATCAACCTTTTTTGGTAAAATTTGAAGGGAAAGCAAAAGGAAAACCAGCTTCGCTTTTTCCGCCTCGCGTTGCTTTCGTTTTCGCTTTTTGTTTCCTTTCAGAACGGGTGTTTGTTTCCTCTTTTTTAGAGTTGGTACCAACCTTCTTGGTTGGTAAAGGGAAACCAAACAGAGAACCATCACTCCGGGGAGGTTCCCCTAAAACGACACACCCATTTGAGAAGGCCCAAAACCGATGCCCAATCAAAAGGGCCATGAGAGTATTCGTAGGTGGTTGGGCTCCTACCTGGTTTAGGGACAATGATATGTGTACAAATCTTTATTGTTTTGTCAACATAATGACCTTGGCCTGCACAATGCCGTTTTTCCCTTTTGTTTCCCTTGAAAACCAACCGCTCGCTGAACCCCTCGTTGGTTTTCAAGCAAAAGGAAGCAACCCTGTTTTAGGCAACACCTTTTGAACAAATCTCATTTGGTTGCATGCTTGTGAGTGGACTCCTGCGAGAAGGGTGGCACGTGAGTCTCTAGGGCTACCTTCCCCATTCTTTCCAGAGATCCTTCTTTTCAGGAAACCATCAAAAACCCAAGGAAACCGCTGGTGTTTTTAATAGAACGATGGTTGAAAAGAATGGGAATCAACCCCTAGAGAGTCACCACTTAGTAACTTAGTAGCCACAAGACTGCAATGGTCCCCCTTGCTACGGATGCCCCATTCGCCATATCGCGTGCACGACCAAAAAACCATGGCTACGTGAATACTTGAGGAAACCGGCCCTAGGCCCCAACCAGCTAGGAAGCCACGAAGAAAAGCACACTCCCCCTGGTTATCGTCAACCCCAAGAAGAGGTCCGTCAAAGGAGACTACTCTAAACATGAGAAGCTGCTTGCCGAGAGGCAGACCCACCCAAGCCACTTGAGGTTTGGCCAACATATCCAGCAGTCTACGATCAATTTGGGAGGGACATTGTGGGACTCAGTAAATTTCTTACTAAAGCAGGGGACTCACTATTTTCCCATGTCCTGAAGGATAACCACATGTGTTGACCGTGGCTCGCATGAACGGACCTGTTTAGCCTTTAGGCTCGTCGTTGTGGTGGGGGGTTGCGAATCCAAAGCAATTTTCTGTGCGACTCTTCAACAACGATATTCCATAGTCGACGGGGCAATCAACCAGTTTGGCATCTCAGCGTTGCCCTACTGCCAACCTGGAGGCAGTTTCAGAGGGAATTTGGTCTTTGTGGGACCCCGAGTCAGGTGTCATGTTGGTGAGTGGAGGCATTTCCCCACAACTTCACGCACTGGCGATCTGGCTTGGGATCCCTTCGAAAAGATGTTTTGTTGTTTTGGCCTCCCTTAAGCAAACCGTCTCTTGGGGAGCTCCATTGGTTTGTTGGCTCGGATGTGCTTTCAACACACCAAGGCGACGTACTTGAAGCTCATGCACGGCGTTTTCGTGCGACGCTGGGAAAAGCATGTCCCTTTTGCTTGCTTGCTTGCTTGCTTGCTTGCTTGCTTGCTTGCTTGCTTGCTTGCTTGCTTGCTTGCTTGCTTGCTTGCTTGCTTGTTTGCTTGGGATGCATAGGCATCTTGAGCAAAGATAGTCGGGCATGAATCGATCCTTTGGTATACAGAATGTACACCGATTTTACGTTCGTGATTTGTTAAGGCGTTCCCATTCAGAACCGTAGTATATGGGTGTCTCTTTCCTTGGTACCGCTTTTTGGGGGTGTTGGCCAAGGGAACGACAAGGAACCCATTTGGAGATTCCCAGCCCTAAGACACACCCATATGGAACCAGGTGCGAGAACAATTTATAAATCAGCGGAGTCCGCACCTGAGATACGATGCCATTTGTAGCACATAGAGTGCTACATCAACGTGGGGGGACCCCCAACATTGTTTTTGGTTTTCCCGTTGGTAGCCCTTTCTCCAAAGCACCGTCAAACAGACAAACCCATTTGGGATTTATGCGAATTGTCAAATGGGTCGAGGTGGACAGGGAATGGCATGGGTTTGTGTGCCCTCTCGCCCACCCACCCCCCCGCCCCCCAGCCGGAGGTCGGGGAGATCATGGATCTCCTTTGTTTTTTGCAGAACCAACTCTGCGGCTTACCGCGGAACTCCGAAAACCATGAGTTGTCAAGGACCCCAAGAACCGGTCGTTTGATCCTAATATCCGCTTGTGGCAAAGAGGCGCCTACTCATACTTGCACATCCTCTTTGGTGGTTGCCTGGTATTCCCGAAAAGCGTGCTATCCCCTTTTCGGGTTTTCATTTTGAGCACACAGCCCAAACAGACCCGCAAGGAACGTGCGGTGGTGTGACCCATTGTCGCTTTCTTCACACTCCCTTCAAAGGCGGCGGCCCTTTTGACACCCCGAAACAAAGGGGAGGCAACCAAAGGGCCCCAGCAAAACCAAAACAACACCGCGGTGAATGGAGAACCTCTGAATAAGAAGGCCGCTTGCGGCCCCAATTGCCAGGCACCGCTTCCTCCCAAAAAAGCTTTCCTTCGCACGGCCAGGCCCATGTCACGAAGCCGCAACCGCAACCGCCCGCAACCGCTCGCCGCAACCGCTTCGCTTCGAGGATTGAGCGGCCGGGACGCCGCGCTGAACAAGTGCACCTTGGTCTTCGCTGGGCTTCTCGGGGGCCTGGCGAGACTTGGCGCGCGTTTGAAGCGAGGCGGTTTGGGAGGGAGAACAAACAAATGGCCGTGGGTCAACACCCATGGGGTCCCATTTGGGGTAGGTGCAGGTTCCCATTTTGGAACCTTGGAGGGAATGATTGGGATGTTCGCTGGGGGTACGATTTGGGTTTTGACCCATAGTCAAATGGCCGCAAGCATCAGTTGGGATGGAAGTCCGAGTGGAAGACTGTCTACTGCTAGTTGGATCTTTAGACTTCAACTTTCTGGATTCCCCTCATATTTCCGGTGGACCTGCAAAAAACAACAACTTTTTGCTGGGGGATCTACAGCACCCAAGAAATTCGTCCAACTCCCCGCACAGACACTTCGGCTCGTAGGCCCTTCCCAAGTCCCTGTCGATGTGCTTTAAGCTACTTTTCGTCAGGTGGCCGCCCTGCTGGGTTGGTTTGTTGGTTTGTTGCTTTCGGCTTAACCACCCAACTGGTGCGCGGCGTGGATTTTTTTCTTCTCCAAATAGTATGGGTGTCTCTCTTTTTGAGGGTACCCTTCTGGGGTCGGTGTAAAGGAAGCTAGGGGACAAGCAGCACTGTTAGGATCCACTTTCAGACGCACCAACATAGGTGTGTGTTGTTTGAGGGTACCCTTCTCAGGTTGGTTTTGAGGGACACCAGAAGCACAAACTCTTCATAAGGGGGGCTCTATTATGGTGTTGGTGGTCAATGGTTGTTGTATATGCCATCCTTTTCATGGGCTGTGTGGGTCAAAAAAAGGTAACCAGGCAAGTGGAACCACCATATCCTGGTTTCATTTCGACCCATACCCGTGTGTGGGGTTTTCTGGAGGGTTTTGAAGGGACACCAAAAACACGCCATAAAGCGGATCCCCTATATTGATAAGCACCTATGGTCTTTGTTGCATTTTGCTTGGATGTTAGGACCTTAACTTTTTGCCAACTAATGGGTTTTCCGCATTAAACCGCTAAAAGTTATTCACTTTAAGCAGGGGAGCAGAAAGCAAGCGAGTGATGAGGAACCTCTTCATCATGGGCATCTATTACGTCACCTGCATCTCCACGCTGCAGCGCGCCGAGATCTTTCTGCAGCCCATGCTGGGCCCAGGCACGGGCCGTCCTTGCAAGAGGCCGCAGTCCATAGGCGTCCTTTTTGGTTGATTTGGTCTAAAAATAGAGGGCCCTGGTTTACCTGGTGGTTCAATCAACTACCAGGGCCATCTATATTCCCAAAAAGGCCACCTATGCTGTGGTCGTGTTTTTTTTTGGAGGATGCCAACTTTTGGAGTGGGTTTCAAAGGGAAACCAAAGGAGACTGGCCGTTGGGTTTTGGGGGGTGATTTAAGCCACATCCAAGACGCAAATTGGACCCAACGCAAATCGTCCAGCGCAAATTTTTCACACTTCACCCTAAACCCTAAACCCAACGCTTTCCGAGCTGCCGGACTGTGACGTTTTGGGCTTGGCTCCCGCGTATGCGTCAAAACAAGGGCACCCCCCAAAAAGGGGTCCATTTGGTGGCTGTTTGAAGCAACCCAACAGGGGGGTTCCAAGAAATGCAGGCCCATGTTGGAAGAAACGGGAAGTGAAGCGCAGTTTTTCGCGCTTGGTCTCAGGCACCCATTTGGCTGTGGGTCAAAATCAATGGGATCCGGGTGCACCACCCATTGTAGAACCTATTTTACCAGGGATTGGGATGTTCACTGGGTGTGCGGGATTTTGACCCATGGCCATGTAAAGATAATTGCATTGTTCATCTTTCATCGTTCTTTTTCTCAAGCACCCATTTGGGTATGAGTCTGAGACAAAGAAGGGCACCCCCCAAAATGGTGTTCGGTTTTCCTTTTGCTTTTTTTGACCAGCAGCTAACATGTGACATCCTCAACAACACACACAGGCCAACTTCCATTTGCTGAAACTTTCATACTTGTTTTTAACGGGAATCACAGTTTTTCTCATTTTTTGGGGACCCAAAAAGCAAATGGTCTCAATGGGCTTCCAAAGCCAGGCTTTGGGTGCGTCCTGCTGGCCACGATCTTCAAGCTGCGGCTCGGCTGCTTAGCATTCGCGAGTTTTTTTAATGGGGGGAGATGCATGTAGAACCCTAACTTGGTTTGTAGATAAACATATAGGTAGATAGATGGATAAATGGATAGATGGTTTGTATGGCTTATAACCCAAGCTTTGGCCCAGCTCTTTGTGCAGGAGCGCCGCGTTTCTGAATCTGGCGCTGCCGCTGGAGGCCGGCCGATTCATGCGGGGGATCCAAACGGATCAGGTGATTAGCAGAAACAACTATGGATGGTGGGGTGGGTGGGGGGGGGGTAAATGAAACAAGCCTCACTATTGTAAGACTAAGCATGAATTCACCTGGTCAGGCATGTATATATATATATATATGTGTTTATCTATTGCTATTTTGTTCATTTTAACTTCGTTGAATCTTGCTTGATCACTATTTGTAATATGTTGGCTTATTTCAATTGAACCCATATTCAATAAATGTGATCAGAATAGCTCATTTGTGATCGTGTTCTCGAAATTCAGGGTACCCGTTTCCTCTTGGTGTCCCTACCTTTTTGCGTTTTGAACCGCGGAGAAAGCTGCGGGTCTTGGGAACTTTGAGAAAGCCTCGGCGAGTCTTGGAGAAAAGGTAGGTTTTCTAACGCTCCCCTTCCTGGACTTCATACTTTTCGCTTGGGGCTTGGCCCGTTTCAACCCAACGGTTGGGCCTTGGCCAGTTCGCCTAGGGCTTGCCCTTCACACCCCTTCTATTCAGACGCCTCCCATGTACCGCGGGTTTCGGTGGCGGATGCGCGGCAAAGGGCCGCAAAATCCAAATCTGGGAAATCGGGGTAGCAGGGGACGGTCCCCAGCGTTTTCCGGATCATTATATTTGGGTCCGCTTTGTTACCAGGTTTTAACTGCTCATATACATACTGTATCCTTCCTTCCGCTAGTTGGAGGCACATGAGGCACCCGGAGGGTACCTGCAAGATCAATTTTCTGGGCCCGTCAGGCCGGGCGGGTCATACCAAAAAGGTGCTACCAGGATGGCACACTCACCATCCTGCGTCTCTCCCAACGCTCCCTGCTCACGGCAAATACCCTCCCACCAATTAACATGAAACCTGAAAGGGGGTCACTTTAACAGGAACTGGAACAGGGTCTTCGAGGACCCCCGTGTCAGTTTCCACGTTAATTGGCGGGAGGGCAATGCCCCAAGAAGCCTCGATGAAGTCCGTTTTTGTGAGAGACCAAGGAAGGCGGTAAGAATTCTCGGGCTACCTTCCCCATTCTTTCCAGGGATCCTTCTTTTCTCATTCTTTCTAGGGATCCACAGCACATGGCGGGGAAAGGCAGCTAACTAAGGCCAAACGAGGCCACATAAGGTTTTGACGGTCGATTCGCATCGATTCGCACCAGGGATGACCAACCACAGCAGGATTGGTTTGCCCTTTGGTGCTGGGCCGACACCTGGCAGGCCTGCTCGGACGTAAGCTCGGAAGAGCCCTGACGCAGCGAAGCAAAGTGGGCACCGCCCGGAATTTAGTCGAGCCACATGCTCAAAACCTGGGGAAGTTGAAGGGTGTGGTGCTTTTGAGGGTGCCCTTTCCAGCTGCATTTTGTTTAGACCCCCAAGGTTTTGATGGCTCAGTTCGCATGCGGAGACCAAAGAAATCAATTCGTGAGAAGGCTTGGCTTGCTGGAATCGCGGCGCCAGACGTAGCAGGAATCACGACATGGGCCCCATTTTAGCTCCCACCCGTTGGTGGAGGCTCCACAGCAACGGCGGGAGGGTATTTGGGGATATCAAAGTGCGCAGTTCCTTTTCCTTGCGCCTCACTAGAACCTATGAAGAACCCCTGGCATGAAACCGGGCATGTCAACATTTTGGAAGGGATCCTTATCACTTGGAGGGGGAAACGCCTAATTTGACAGGTTCATTCATCCGGTTCATCATCCCAAGGCGTGGCTTGGAAAGTGAAGCCACGAGAGGCTCTGGTGCTGGATTCCCGCCGTGCAAGCACACGGGTTACATCTAGGAAGCAGCCACACGAAGCTGCGAAGCTCTCCCAGTTCCCACCGGCGAGCGATGCGCCAGGTTTGGGCCAAATTCCGAATTCCGGCATCAAGCAGAGCACGTGAGGGGAATCAATCGAGGGGCGAATCAAACTTTGGCGGCTTGCAAGGAGTGGTGCTGGTGCCCTTGTAGGAGGGAAAGCCCAACCTGCTCTGAGCTTCGGAGCTTCGGAGCTTCGTGCCAAGCGCAGTTTTAGACCAACGCTAGATGGGTGTAGCCTGAAATTTGGGGGACCCCGACATTGACCTACCCAATGCTTCCAGTTGTAGGCAACCGAGGGAACTAGGGAATTAAAAACTCGAGGGGGGAATCCCTTGTTAGTTGCCTCCTGGCTGGTTTTTCTTTGTTGTTCATGTTCTCTTGCGCAGAGAAACTTGCAGAGGGAACTTGCGAGGAGACCACTAGCGCAGAGAACATGCTGCGCTCACCATATCTTTTGTTTTCGGGCCACCGGTTGTTCTCTTTTTTTTTTGAGTGACTGGCGTGGTTTTCGCTGGTGTTCTTCTCGCCTACGAGAACGGGGTCCCTGAATTTAGGAAACCCCAGATCTGGAGAGTTTGAACATGGCGACCGCGACAGGATCGCTGGACCATGACAGGTGCTGTCAGAGCGAAGTTCGATCTGTCAACGCGCCCAACTATTCTTCACGGAATTGCGGCCAAGGCCCTGTAATCCCGGTTACCTCATAGTTGCAGGGAATTCGAACCGCTGTAGGGGTGTGAATCATGAGAATGGAGTGGTTCGTTCCCTTTTCGACTCGACAGCTAGTTGGTCCGTTCGAATTCAACTTGCGAGCCGAAAAGTAGACCTGCGCCGTCGGCGTTTGATGGGCAAACCAGAGGCAAACCCAGACGAGTGTTTCTCACAGGGGGTGCCCTAAGATGGTTGGTTTGCTTTTGCGGTTTCCATGTAGCTTTTCCAACCAAAGCAGGGTCCGAAGTTTCAAAAAGCTCCTATATGGAGATCCCTGCCAACACCGGAAAGCGACGGTAAGTGGACCCAAAACCGATATGATATGGAATGCTAATTGACGCGCCAGGCCATCAACTCTGGACAACGGAGTTCAGTATTGGGGGATTGCTTCCCCCAAAAGAGAAGGCTTTTCTCTAAAAAGGCGACACTCACCAATAAATTGACCGGTGTCGTGTGTTTTGGATCCGGATTACCCTGGGGGAGAACACCCACGAATGCGCTACTTACCAGAGCTAGACCACCTGGAAGAAAGGAATATCCCGAACTCGGAGGTTGACAGATCAGGGTTTGCTGCTTGGAACGGTCTCGATACGCGTTTCTGGCCGGACCAGAACACATGTTTGGCGTTTTCTGGTCGTCTCAGGTTTTGGATGGATCGCATGTGAGGACTATTTGAGAACACAGAACCTTGAAACTGTCCTTTGTGAGATAAGTCAGTTCGCCCCCTGCCCATTGCAAAGCTGTCAAACCGAATTGGATCACCCCCATCCAGTCACAAATCAGGCATGCACGAGCTTGGAAGGAATGAGAGGTCTGTTAGAACCCCTTTTCCTTGTACACACCCGAAACTGATGCGTTTTTTTTGGCGGGGCGTCACTCCGTTGTACCTGTCGCATACCTTCCATGGCAGGGTGTTGCGACCTGGGGATCTCTCTGAACGTGGAACCCCCACATCATGTTGGAGAAATATGCAGATTCAAGCCAGGGAGTCCAGGGAGATTTCTCGGACGGGTAAATTTGTCGTGTACCGACTTCAACTGGGGCCAATTTCGTGGCCTCGGGGCCTTGCCTCGGAGCATCCGACTCCTGCCAGGCTGCGACGTCTTTTTTAACCAGCACATCGAGGGGGGTATCAACATTGGCAGCTCCGGCCGGGCGCCCGCGAGCAAAAACGAGCAAACACGAGCAAGCGAGCTTAGGCGAGCTTAGGCGAGTTAGGCGAGCCGCGAAGAGCCGCGAGCCGTTAGCAAGCGGCGCTTTGGTGGAAACGCAGGGGTCCACTGTGCAACTGGGGTCCCCTCCAAACCTACTTGATATCTTACATTATGTTTGGGTATGAAAGACGTGATTATTTCTTTTGCGTCCTAGATGAGGCAAAGGAGAACTAGCTGAAGAGGAACACGTGACATGTGGCAAACATGTTTTTAGTGGATCCTAGTTTCCGTGAGTCTGGTTGAGCGTCGGGCCTTGTTGTGCCCAAGAAGGGGGTTGGCGTGACACTTCTGATTCGATCCACTTTCATATCACAGAAACGGCTCTTCTGCGCCAGAAGGAGCTTGCGTGTTTCCTGAAAAGAGCAGATGTCTCCAAGTTGATCTCTATCCTTCGGTTCAACGTAGAATCGAGGTTCCCTGTTGGTTTTGGAAGGGAAAAAACACAATGCTGGAACACAGTTGCACAAGAATAAGTTTCCATTTACAATCAACCCCAGGAAAAAGAAGGCGCCCCCTTTTCCCAGAGCCGCTGGGGGTCCGGGAAGACAGGTTCACTATAAACTGTCATCTTGCCTCTAGAGGACGAATAGCCGAAAAAGCTGAATAGACTTGTTCCTTCTGAGGAGTCTGAGGACCTTTTCTTCCCCCACGAGGGTGGCTTTTTTCAACATGTCTCCAAAGAGACGGACGCTCCGTGTTCACTGTACCATTTCGAACCCAAAAGCCAAAGGAGTCGAAGAGTTACTGTGAGTCCCTTCACCAGCCAATTTGTTCGCTTCCGGCCCGGAACGGACGCCATGAAAGCCGCAAACAGGATCCGGCCTTCCGACCGAATCGCCAAAATGGACAACACATTCTGGGTCGTTCATTTTTCAAAAGCATGTTTTTTGTCGATTCTCTTCTATGTAACAAGTATTGGACTTCCTCTCCAAGTGTTTTTTTTGGCCCTTTTCAAGATTGCTCCTTTAGGCATTGCTGAATTCGGCGGTTTGGATTGGTGGTTTGGGGATTTCAAGCACTGGTTCTTGTAGAGGGTGAACAGCCGCCAATTACAGGGACGCCGAAAAAGCCACCGTGACCGTCATGACTGGTGCCTGCACGCCCAGTTAGCTTCATCCTGGAGCTAAACAAGCAGGGCAAGCCCCAGGCGGGTTGGGCATTTCTAGCCCAAAGGGCAGAGGGAGTCCCTAAAAGCGAAGAGTCCGCCACTTTGAGGTGGGACAAGCCATTGATCAACCTGGGGTTCAACCCAGCAGTATTCGGGTGTCCAATCACAGCGGTCCCCCTCTGCATGGCTTTTGAAGAGAAACCACAAGGGAAACCACAAGAGAAACCACAACGAAAACCACAAGACAAGCCACATGGAAAACCACAAGGGGAAATCAGCAAGATTTGTGCCAGGATGCCAAAATTTGGAAGCACCCACTTGGGAAGTTCAACCTACGGAGTGTGTTTAATACTTGCCCTCCCACTCAGTTGGCCAACTCGATAGTGAGAGGTTAAGTGGAACACTCAGGCAGGTCACACAGAAAGTGATTAGCAACCCCGGTTGTAGCTCAGATACCTTGGCTACTGGGTTAAAACCAGGGCTTCTACCTACAGCTGATACTCTCACTGTTCATTTTTCATTTTTTTGCCGGCGCAAACTCACACTTGACTGCTCCCACGGTTTTTTTTGGTTCGCAGCCCCCCTCTTTCGTGTGAGGCGCGGGACGCGCGAGTGGAGGCCGCCGGGGCTCCCAGTGACGTGGTGCTTTGCTCCCTAACTGGTCCAAAGCGAATCAACAGTTTCTGGCTTTTTCTTTTTTTTCTTTTCTTCTCTCCCTTTTTGGTCTACGTTTAGTCAAGAGGCTAACCCTGGCCTTTTTTCTTCCCCTTTTGGAGTTTGGTCCACTTGTTGTCAAGGTCAACTTGTGGATTCCAAAAGGTGAACCCTGGCCTTTTGTCCCCCTTTTGGATCTTGGTCTACTTCTTGTCAAGGGCAAACCTTCCGGATTCCAAAAGGCTACCCTCCCTCCAACTAACATGGCACCTGTGGGAGGGTACCTGGAAACTCCTCTTGGAGGGACCCCGTTCAGGTGCCATGTTAGTGGGAGAGAGGGTAACTAATTCTGTATTCTCAGGCCCTTGCGAGTGCGAGGCTTGACATGTTGACCTCTTCATGTGACAGGTGGGATGCTACACCTGCAGGTGAGTGCCAAGTAATCACTGGCCAGCTTTTTCGCTAGTCCCTGGGGCCGGCTCCAGGTAACGAGCCATTCTGCTCTTGGTGTTACAGCCGTTCAGTTACTTGCCTAAGGTAACTGGAATCACCAGGCTTGGTTTTCCTTGAATTTTGGTGAAACAGATTCAAGGTTTATATTCCAAAGGGCAACAAACAACACCAACAGAGAGCAACGCCTCGGCGCAAGTTCCTCTCTTCTGCGTACGTTCCTTTGTGTGTTCTTCGCACAAATTTCTTTGCACAAGTTCTCTGTGCAATAAAAGAGAGCAAGAAAGAGCGGAAATTCTCTGCTAAAGTTTCTT